GCGGTATACATCTCTTCTTGAATGGCCATGGCGACCTGGGAGCCTTTCCTTGTCAGAGGCGTTCGAATTTTGAAAACTCGCATTTCTGGAAAACGGCCCAAAAGAGCCATAGAGGAAAAAAACGGAAAACGGAACGGGATTTTTTCGAAAGAGTGGTCCTCCAAAAGAATTTCGCTACTTTTTCGGAAGCGTCAGTCTTGTAGTTCCTAATTAGCCTTAGAGATCTGCAAAACTTTAAAAATGAGAGCAAGTTATTAACGTTTGAATGATGAAAACTTTCGCATTCTAGAAAATCGCGCGGCTACAATTAAGAAAGAAAAACCTTTATAAACAAAATAATTAAACGGTTCGTTTCGCTCCTTCCTCAGACGAACCTTATTATTTCGTCAATCCCCGGAGCTCATCAGTGAGTTGGGATTGGCGAAATAAAGACACAGGGAAAGACGAATAATAAAACCCTGAAAAGGGGACAACGGGTCTAATTTTTAAATAGTGGTCCTTAAAACAAGTCTCGGTGCTCCTTCTTTGGATGTTAAAAACTCGGGTGTGCAGAAAAGGAAAAAAACGGGCCGATTTACCGAAGACTTGAACATTTACAACAGTATAAATGCTTTTGGAAATGAAACAATTTAAAGTGTCAAGTTTCATTTTCCCTATAACAAGAAGAAAGATGTAAGCTTTTGAATGAGGGGTTCGCGCGCCATTTATTAGGTTGGAAAGAAAGTCCTGCAACACTTTTTCAAACTTTTGGTTTTGATTTTATCTTTTTTGTTGACAACTCCCGTCCAGTCATATATCTATGACGCGGGTCAGGTATGTAGAGTGCCCACCCAAACCTTGTCTTAAAAGCTCAGAAAATTTTCCCGCCGAAGCTCCTTTGCCAAACCAGCGGAGTGCGAGATCGAGAAAGGGTAACTTCAATTCGAGTTGGCATGTTGATCGGCCTAAAACTATTTCGCCACTTGCAGTGGTGTGATGATTTAGGGTCTAGGATAGGTAGCACTCATTTATAGCTCGACCAGGGGAATTACGCTAAGAGAGGAAAGAAATCTTGCCGCAACTCCAGAATTTCTTACCGGGCTCATTTCGGATCATGGTGATTCGCAATGTCATGAAAGAAATGAATATTGTCGCGGTACGAGGGCTCTTGACGAGCTGCCTCGGCCAGCTTCTGGTATTCCACAGCCTAGGCCTGCCTACACAATGGTGCCCATAACGAAGGGTATGTAGTGGAGCTTCTGTAAGAGCCCTACCTGTAATGGAGTGTGAGGGACGCTGCTGGCTTCTTATAAAAATATCAAAAGATCAAAGCGCTGCTGGTAAAGGTGAAGTGCGTTGTAGCGGTGAACGACATGCCCGTTGAAGCTTATTGCAGATGTGCTGCGTCTTCTCGCACGAAGCCACAGTTATGGAGACATTTGTACTAGACAGTGACTCGGAGTACGGATTTGCTAGTGGTCGAGATTTTTTGAATTTTCTTGGATAACTACTGACTGCAGCACTTATATCCACCTCGTGGATTGAAGCCTTGAGAATGCTCTATCATTTGGTAGTCATAAATGTTACCTATGAATTTTTCAGAAAAAAAGAAAATTTTAGAAAGAGTGTTGCAGAACTTTCTTTCCAACCTAATAATTACATTAATGTATTCAGGATTCAGTCTTCAACTTCAAAAGGGAGATTTGAAAGCTCAGAGAAATTTTGGCGGTTTTCTGGGAGTAGTTTTTTTTTGCGATTACAGACACAACACTCAGAATAGCTAACACTTGTTCCGTATTTGACACATTTACTGATAAACTAACAGAGTTCATACGAGTGTTACTAGGAAATGGTTATCATGAGGACTTTATTATATCTAATATAGTTAAGTGCATTTATAAAAATAAGTTTATATGCTTATAAATTCTCAATGGCTAATAATTATAAAAATGTTAAAAACTATTAGGTTGGAAAGAAAGTTCTGCAACACTCTTTCCAAAATTTTCTTTTTTTCTGAAAAATTCATAGGTAACATTTATGACTACCAAATGATAGAGCATTCTCAAGGCTTCAATCCACGAGGTGGATATAAGTTCTGCAGTCAGTAGGTATCCAAGAAAATTCAAAAAATCTCGACCACTAGCAAATCCGTACTCCGAGTCACTGTCTAGTACAAATGTCTACAAAACCATGGATTCGTGTCAACGACTGACACTATCTGCAATAGCTTCTAATGGCATGCCGTTCAGCGATACAGCGTGTTTCACCTTTACCAGCGCTTCCGATCTTTTGATATTTTTATAAGAAGCCAGCAGCATCCCTCACACTCCATTACAGGTAGGGCTCTTACAGAAGCTCCACTACATACCCTTCGTTATGGGCACCATTGTGTAGGCAGTGGCCTAGGTTGTGGAGTACCAGAAGCTGGCCGAGGTAGCTCGTCAAGAGCCCTCGTACCGCGACAATATTCATTTCTTTCATGACATTGCGAATCACCATGATCCGAAATGAGCCCGGTAAGAAATTCTGGAGTTGCGGCAAGATTTCTTTCCTCTCTTAGCGTAATCCCCTGGTCGAGCTGTAAATAAGTGCTACCTATCCTGGACCTTTAATCATCATCTTTATAACGAAATAATCAGACGATCAACTCCAACTCGAAAGTGAGGTCGCCTCCTTTCTCGACTCGCACTCCGCTGGGTTTTGGCGGAGGAGGATCAAGAAATTTTCTGAGCGATGGAGACAAGTGGTGGACACTCATGGTAGATATAAGACCGGTCAGAAGTTGTAACCAAAAAAGATAAAATTTAAAATCAAAAATTTGAAAAAGTGTTGCAGGACTTTCTTTCCAACCTAATAGTTAAGGAAATACTACTAAGATCGAATAGCATAGTATGTTTATTCAGTGGACAGTACAGACATTCCATCGCTTTATAGAACACATTTCGGTCATCAAAATAAGAGCCTGTTCTACACGACACATCAGAAGATTTCCCATGGAAACACAGCGAACTCAACGAAGTGGTTGACGGATCATATATCATTACGACGTCATCTGGAACGCTGGTCAACAGCGATCCTGCATCCGATTAGCCGACTGAAGAAATTATGTAGAAGCTTCAGTCTGAAGCGATTACGCTAGGCCTCTTGGAGCTCGACGGTATTGGCAGATGACGTCATGTTCTGCAGACGGTCAGAGCAATGAAGAATGGAATGCTCCTGCTTATGGGGGACACCTGCGGAATGTTTAGGTGTAAAACTTTCATCAGTAGCGGCATCCTGTGCGACGAAAAGTTTGATGATGTGCGCCATAGGGAAAATGACTTTTTTGCCCCCCCCCCCTTCACGTGCCAACAGACATACCGACATAAAAGCCGACACACCGAAGCGCGTTTAGCGGTTTACATAATAGAAGGAACCTTATCTCTATCTCTTGTTGAAGTACGCTTCCACTACCACATAAAAATCTCTGACCTCGGAAATGTTCACGATTCTGTGCTCTTTCAGAAAACATGAGACAATGCTGACGGACGGAAACGAATTTGAAAATTTCTGTTCACAGTGATGAGTCAGATTTTCTGATATGACATTCCTAAAAGGGGGTGGCAGCAGGACCACGAAAACAAACATTTCAGGCGTCTCAACATCATAATGGAAATCGTTCTCAGCGCTTTCCCTGGACATTTCATTGGTTTTCGTGGCGGAAAATGATACTGTAAAATGCTCACTATTTTCCCAAAGCACCTCCACGAAATCTCGCTCCAATCTCTCGACCTTAAACTTGGGCCCAATTAATCTTAGAGCTATCTCAGTCCAACATCTGCGATGGATATATCCACTATCTTTATCTTTATCTTTGTTAACAAAGATTGTCAAATACTACGAAGTAGCTCATTGTCACCCTCGAATAAGATTGAAATGCGCGATGTTTTCTTGCACTGGGTGATCTCAGTTTGAGTAGTCCTCCATCACGACCTTGAGTGCCAAGCATCCTCTTCCGGCTTCGAGAAATCGAACTCACCCTCGATTACGGCCCACCCACTTCCGTGCCACCTTCCAACAAGGCACTTGAAAAGACCTTTCTCATATGACCAACAAAGTCTTTGCCCTTGTAGCATGTTCAAGCAATAGTAGTTACGAGCTGGTCAAACTTTTAATATGAAGGTCAGTTATTTTTTGCTGGATATATGGTCCGTGCCCATATGAATTATGTGGCCCTCCTTTTTATCATGTAAATGTAATTCATTTGGAAAAATGTACTTCTTAGTGATTGCTATCACTTCTACTCAAAGCATATGCTAGCCATGCTTACTGGTTACTGTGCCAACGGAATTAAGATGTATTCAGAGTAGCTTACACTTCCTCTGTTAGGCACTCATTCTATCTTCTCTTAGCGGCACTGTGCAATAATGATCGTAAGGGGCATGTTACTCCATAAGTATTATGCGAGATCAAATCCATGCAGACATGAGAGAGTGTGAAAGGTGAGGAGGTGGTTCAAGTCCTCGAAGCGCATTTACGGAACCTGCGTGGGATTGGGCCCTGCTCAACACAACCAGGTCTCTGCCCTCTAAAACATGCTCATTAAAAAAGTGTCATCAAAAAAGCTGGAAACATGCGCTTGTGCAGTATTAACAAGTCATGAGGTGACCATATCACGTGTTCAATCACCCCCATGATTCTCAAACAGAATGAGTGCGTGGCTCATCCCAAAAGAATCGACTCCGAGCACATTGTCAACTTCTAATAGTTCGCCATACTTCCTGAACGAGCCTTTTTCTTAGAATTGAGTGCTTTATTTCTGCACGAAACAAAATTTCCTCCCAATTAGTTCTATTTCTGAATGGATTCGTTTTTGCTGAGTGCTCCGGGTTTCAAACCCAGATCGGGTGCTTTATGGAAGTTGTTCTATAGGGGTCGCGTCTTATCTTACAAGACGTTAGCCCAAGCTCATGGTCAGCTCTCAGCGGGAATTATTTATTCTCGCTCTAATATCTGTTTTTAGAGTTGCTGTGAACTGTTTTATGAAAAGATTTGGAATTAGCAGCATATTGGAAACTCGCTCTAAAATGCCAGAATTCTTCCCGACCGGATCTACGGTAAGTTTCGACTCATAGTTCAAACGCTATAGCTCTTACTCGAGTCGCAGACGAGTCGCAGCGTGTGCTGTGCGATATGAGACGTAGTATGGTACACTCTATTTAACCTGACGCCTAACCGCTACAGTATGCGCTGCGACTCGTCCCTTTGCCGCGTCTGCGTCTCTTCCTTCGCCGCGCGATGGGCCTCTTGGGGACACCCCTTTCTGACATGCCTCACCCAATCACTCACCATTTTAGTATGGACCATAATGAATGCTCGATCACCAACATCTGAGACGACACCAAACTACAGGTTTATATGCTTCGAGAAAGCTCAAAACCAGTGCAATTGAGAAAATCAAGATTCATTCCGGCGTTCAGGCTACCACTTTCATAAAAGGTTGGATGACCAAATTCGTTCCAAGAAATCAGAGGATGTTTCAAAAAGACCAGGAATAAGGCTTATGGCTCAGCGTTCCATCAACTGATTCTTTTTGAAAAATGGCGAAGAAGCTGGCGTGGGTCCGGGACTGGCCGTTATATTTATGATAATTTGGAGGGCGCTCAGGGTCAGTTTTCGATGAAAAGGTCCCTTGTTCACTTGATTTTGCTTCTCAACACTAGGCTACACAGATTTCACATAGAAGGTATTCGGCAGTTGTCTATTCAAAAATATATGTATGCCTAGCGTGCCGTGTAAACGAAAGTTCAAATCCTATTCGTGAAACGATTCCTTGCAATAATTTATGAATCGAAGAGGCGCAGCGGTAGTGACCCTGATTCACAGATGAGATATCGTGGGATTGGCTCCTTTACGAGTGTGTGCTTTTGCTCCTTCCATAAATATATTGAACATCTTTCTAGCCATATTGTCAAGAGCATAGCAATTGTATGGAATCACATTTTTGTCGATCCTCAACTCTTTGCTGTGAGTCTGAGGGTCAGGAAATTGCTGTGCGTTATAATATAACCAGATTAGTCCCCCGTCAACCGCCGGGACCTTCCTTTCCTGCGCAAGCTTTCTATCCTCCGCTATGGTCCCTTCCTCCTGTGACAACACCTCCTGGAAGTGACGCGTATGCAACACAATGGTGTTTCATACAGTAGAAGGGACACAATCATGATATGACGGTAGATTTTTCGCTTCCCTTCCTCCCTTCTCTCCACTGCCCTCCAGCTGCCACTGCAGCACCATGTGGAATGAACGGAAGTGTGCTAAGCAGGTGTTTATATAGCCCTAAGAGTGTTATCACAACTATCCTGCTACAAAACATTGATATCTCAAATCCTGTAAGCTACCCGATTTGTTAGCGGTTTGTTTATCCCATGAGCTTCCTTCTCACTCACTTCATTTTGCGGACGGACACACATACATACATACACACACACTACATACACACACACACAAGTTAGCGCTTTATAAAAATATCAGTCATATACTAACACTTTCAAGAATCGGTAGACAATAACAAAAGCAGATTTGAACTAAGCGTTCGATGGCGTAGATCGAGTATATCATTTTGAATGGCCAGGCTATGTCATGTGACTACTCCTTGTCAGGGACGGTAGTAAAGTGCCATAGACTGGGAGTTAAAGGTGGTGAACTACGGCCGTAAACGGTGAATAATGAAAGGCGAGACAGCCAGATGACCCCGCTCTGAATGGCGAGCTTCACTACATTCCTAGCAAAAGTCGCGTCGCCATGGACTTGAACCATGTAGTGCAGCGCCCATGATTAGCGCGGGGGGGGGCGGGGCCGTTTTGCCACTACACGAGCTTTTGTTATTTCGAAAGATTGTTAGTAAACCAAAGGTAGGATCCTATGAGGGTTGCAAAATCCAGTATCATGGAGAACTGATCCCGCGAGCGATCCAATGTCAACAAGGAACGAACCCACTGCGCCAATCGACGTGTTTGTAACCTAGGATCATGGCCTAGATGATTGTACAGTAGTGAAATGCTCCCGGGACCAAGGAAGGAGCTATAACACGATCAATAAGTGGAACACTGCGGGGGACAGCTGATCACCTTATTGGCAGAAAGTTATCAATATTATCGATAGCTCCAGTGGCTTTCTTGCTGCCTCCACTCAACACCTTCAACGTACCCCTTTCTTCCTGCGCTCTGCGCATGGCAGGACGGAGAGACGCTCAATGCGACCAATGCATGACGTGCAGAGAAAGGGGAAGTGCATGGGGATTGAAGAGACGCAGATAGGCGGCGACTAAAATGTACTCAGGGGTACATTTTAGTCGCCCTCTACATGACCCTCTGCGTCTCTGCAATCTCCACGCACTTTCCCTTTCTCTGCCGGGTTCGCCGCCTAGGCTAGGTGCCACCTAATACGTTCCACTTAACATGTGGTATAGACCTCGCCCTCTGCGGGAGGTCAGCGTGAATTTCCGCCCTTTCCCCATGCTTTTTGAGTGCCGACGAAGGCGAGATCAACGTGACCTATTGGCCAGCTATAGACTGGCTATTTAGGGGACTTTACTACCGTCCCAGGGTTTCCCTTTGAAGAAAATATAGTCAATTGTGAAAATTGAAGTTCTTCTACGGGAGAGCTATTCCGATATTTGTAGCACACATGCCGACGAAGTATTAGAGAAGATGGGACAGGCGAGTAGTACTGCTTACAAGCACAGCTCGTAAGATCATTCCTGGCTCGTGTCTCGAGGTCGAATAACCGGATACTCATCTGTTGTGGGTATTCGGAACATAACGAACAAGGATGAAGACTAACAACATGGTTTCCGAATGAACGTGTAGGCTTTTATGCCTTCAAATGCCACTATGAGATGAAACGAGGCCGACTTCTTTCTGATCGTTCTCTATTCGACCGCTCTGGTGGTGGTGAAGGGGGAGGGCGTACTGAGCACATTCCTCGATGAGTGAGCGGGATTAATCCCTTTCACGAACTGAACAACCAATTGGAGTGTCGCTCTTGGAGCTCGAATGTGCGCAGCTGGAACATGGGAGCCTTGCTCTCGGTGCTTCTACATTGGTGTTTCCGCCATTGGCAGCGATACAAAAGTGTAGGCGCTATTGCTCGTCTGCTGTGCTCTCGCTCGCCTAGCTTCCCTTTTCTTTCCCTCGGCGCTAGTTTTCTGCGTCATAAATTGTCCGTGGTTTATCTAGCGCACAAGAGGAGCCCCTTATTTCTAATGTTTTCGTCGGATTTCTTCACTTCTTTGTCACTGACGATCCGGCACCCCTACTTTCTTTGTTTCTGAACGCAACAACCACACCAGACTGATCGTCTTTGATGGGATCCAACAATAATCAAGTAAATAAATATTTCAGACGTGTGTTATCAATTCATGCACTTCGCTCGGTGTTTATGAACGCTTCTGCTGTGTACCAAATTTGACCGAATGCTGTGGACAAGTCAGCGTAAGTAATACAATTTAGAAAGGATTGCAAAAATGCTCTGGTCCTTTTACATTTTAGTTGAGTTTTACAACAGTATACTGAAAGTGCTCTACAAAAGTCAGTTAAGACAGAGGTGGTGTTGGGGGGGGGGAGGGGGAAGGAGAAGGAAGGACAGGGGAATGGATGGGTGGGTAAACAATGGTACGAGCCAAATTTTCGCACCCTATGTGCGAAGTGACCTCATTAAGGCTGACGGCTTAAGGGTCACAACACCACCCAGACTTCTCTAATAATCAGGTAGAACGCAATTAATTGAGGAAACAAATCATTCATAATAATAGTTAAAAAATACTAATTTATTACACAAATTCACAAACATAATACAGTCTATATAGTCTTCCATTCCCCTTTTGCACCACAAATCCTTAAATGGCCGACTCATCCAGGGCCAAATAAAACGATGAGAGGTTTAACCTCCATCTTTAGAGGTTTTCATCGAAAGTATGCGGATTTCCTTGAATTCCTCCACTCCTGTTTGCTTAGTTTCTCAGTAAAGTGTTCAGGAGTTTTGCAGTTTCTAATAGGTTCTAATGGGTGGCGTGTTTTGGGAACTACTTCAATGTGTGGGGACAAGCATTGCGAAAGCCAGCGTGGAATAGCCCTCGAGACTGGCCTCGATATTGCGATGAAACCGTCAAAAACAACTCAGAACCGTTCTCTAAATGGACCCCGGATCTCACACTGCGATGCCAGCTCGCCACGTTCTGTGGGATAGCGAGGGCCACGAAACCTAATCCACCATACAGCACTGGCATCGCTCTCTCATACTATGGCCTCCTATGCGCCCTGAATCAGCCACCTGTCAGCAAATTCATCAACTCCAAGCCCCACCAATCCCGGACGGAAAGCTTCCAAAGGCTCACTAGTGAATGTACGTATGTCAGTGACCATGACGATGGTTATGCTGTGGATTTGTTGTTTCTTAGGAGAGAGAAAATTTGAATAAAGGAAATGTCAAAATTGAGACAGTAGTTATGAGACAACCCAATACGAACGTCATATTTTCAAATCTTTACCCCTCTACGGAGATGCTGAACATTTCATCGTCTTAACACTGTCGATACGCTCTGGCAATATCTTTGCAAATAATTGTCCAGATTCGATCTCAGTGGCGCTAGGTGGTGTAGTAAGATTGCCTGTCGACGGGTAATCGGAATGGGAAATCATCTTCAAGTATAAAAGCCAACACTTGAATAGAGAGAACACCGTGAACTGATTGTCTATCTGCTGGTTGATCCTCTAATCGAAGGTGATGAAGAAGGGGGCTCCAAAAAAAGTTCTAGAAAGTGTCTAAATAACCATGGAAACGGCAGCGTGTATGGCTAACTGATTGCTCAGGTATGGATTATTGGGTTGCTACTTGTCGGCAAACCGATGTTTCAGGCCTTTAACATTTTTCGTGGGATTTCGTATAACAATTAACATGTAGAAGCGACTCACTAATTATGGAAAGACCATAGTTTTGGCTACGCCCTTTCCTTCAACATATGGCTGAGGTGCGTCCTTTCCCCGATTTTTTACCAAGGGAGTAGAATTGCGGTGTAACAAATTTACATATAACCCACTTTCATCACATACGGAGTGTTAGTCGCTTAGAAGAAGCTTCCCTTCACATTACTCTTTACTGATCGACTGATTTTAGCTTTTTCATTTCTATTTTTGATTTTTTTGATCATTCCTCACCTATGTTTTCTACAGATATTTGGATGGTTGCTGACCGGTGCTCTTACGGTCGTGGCTGTTATTTTGATCTATTGGGCAGTATACAAGAAATGCAATAAATAAGAGCAGTCCTGGAAGCTCTACTCACCATCAGCTGGTGATTCGCGAAATATTTTTCTCCGATGCATCACTTTATATTTCAATTAGTAAGGTATTGCAGTCATTTGTTGCTGTTGGTGATGGGATTTTTATGAATAAATATCGTTCATTTTTAGTTTTTCTGTTGCCATGAGGGTGCAGAGCACTTAGCCCCACTCAGCACGTCAAGCCAATCTCAGAATGACCTCTCAGAGGTCCCATACATGACCTCCGAGATTATTGGGCTCGAACACAAAAGCGCGTGCGAGATAACGAACACCAGTGAAGAGTAAAGGGAAAAGTATCCTTGGAAGATTGAAAGCAAGAGGCCTTCGGTTTTTAAGAGGTATTATGGAAGAGTCATACGACAAAGAAATAGTGAGCGTCGGATTGAGGGAAGAGATATGGAAAGAGAGGGTACAGAGAACGAGTGACGCGCACTCTTTGCCAATCAGGGTCAAGCGAACCGTCGAGGAAAATTTGGAAATACGACCCCCCCCTCCTCCCCAGAGGCCGAAGTCTATGAAACGACCCTCTTCAAAAGCCGAACTATGAAAAGGTTGTTTAATTCTCCCCCAAAACTGTTCATAAAAAGCCCTGCTACCAGGGTCAACCGTCCGTTCGAACTGTTCGAACGAAGGGGTCGCATTTTGGTCGGAAGGGGGTCGCAATTTCGAGGACTGCCAGCCACAGGCGCGTGCGTGGCGTATCCGAGGGCAAGAATTGCTTTGTGCAGACCGCATTAGATTCGATTATTATGCACAGAGAGACAGTTTTAGGCAAATTACGGTGTTTTCCTTGAGGAATAGAAGAACAGTTGAATGCATCCCTATGAAAGGTTTGACTTCTCGGGGCTGAAATTAAAGTTCTTCGGGACCTGATTTTCTGAGGACGATTCTTCCAGACAACGGTAAAACACATAAGAAAGCAGAAATCTCGTAGTCTTCAAAAATGTCTTCGCCCCTCCCCAACAAGTTCTTTGAAGGAAGTTATTATTGCTGAAAGCTCAAAAACTCGCATGTGCTGCTCAAAAACCTATGGGAACAAAATGTTCGAACGTGTGATTTTCTCGGAAAATGGATTTTGAAAAACGGTTTGGTGCTTGTCAGAAAGAGCAAATGTGCTTTCACCCCATGAAAAAAGTGCATCACAGAAATGAAAATGAAGTGAGTTATGGTCGCTGAAAGCCCAAAAACTCGCTTTTGCACGAAAAATGTTCGAACGGGACAATTTTTTGAAAAAGGGGACAATCACTAAACTTTTTATACTGTTTTGTTAGAGAAATATTTGAAGTTTCTGAAACTTTTTACAGATTTCCAAAATGTCGCATACGAAAGATTTTATGGGCCTTCAAAGTTGAAGGTGCGCCTTCTTAGAATTTTGGGTTTTCCACTTCTAACAGAAGTACTTTCCGGAGAGTTAGGCAATCCTTGTAGTTTTCTGGAAGCGCACCTCAGGCACAATCAAAATCTACCTCAACAAGTCAAAAAAATACGTCCCAAGAAAGTTATTCCCCTCTAAAAATTTTTTCTTCGCCGCGTCCCGTTCTTCCAGCGCCCGGGTGATACCTGCCGCGCTCCAAGGCTGACGCCGCAACGCAGACGCTTTCTGCGGCGGCGGCGCAGACGCTTTCTGGCGCAACGGATTCATGTCTAGCACTCTTATTAACAAAAACAGTCCACTCCCTCGAAGTAGGGTCGAAAGAGATCCCCTCCCGAAAAGTGTTCGAAGCGTGACGCGTTGACGTCTGCACTGAGGCCTCCGCACAGGGTCAAGCGAACGTCGAGGAAAATTTGGAAATACGACCCCCCCCCTCCCTCCCCCAGAGGCCGAAGTCCATGAAACGACCCTTTTCAAAAACAGAGCTATGAAAAGGTTGTTTAATTCTCACCCAAAATGTTCAAAAGAGCCCTGCAACCCCACCGTCCACCAAAAAATTCTTATAGGAACTAAAAAAGTGAAAAAGTCAAAGAATGATCATTAATGATGAGCCTACCAAACGAGCAAACGAGAAACAGACAAAAAACGACAAACTAGCCACTAAAAATGGCATACTATGACAACATCTCTTCTTTATTTATTTCCTTCCACAAGACTTACCAAATTCTAGTACTACACAGATTATGGTTCTCAATTTGCACGTCCCCTTCAGTTGAAAAAAGCCTTGTAACCGCCTTCGCCAGCTGTGTGTTGACTGGACTTTGGCGTTGACCGTGGAGCAGCTTATTTACTATTGAAATTTGAACAAATATTCAAATGATTATAACTTTCTTCAAAGTGACGAATTTTCAATCTGAAAGCAGATTTGGGAGTTTTGTGAAGAGCTTCTTTCTAATCAGTATTGAAATTACAAAAAGTTATAAGAAATAACAAATTTAGATCAAATTAACGAGGAAAATTCATGATGAGCACGAGTTTTTACACTTTCCGAAGCCATAACTTGCTTCATTTTCGTCAAATTTGAAAAGCTAATATGGCAGACAAAACTAGAAGACTTTCTCTATCAAACGCTTACTAAAGCAACTTCATACGTTCCGTACCTAAAAAAATGGCCACGTTGAGGATTTTTGCAAAATTAACGAGGAAAATTTGTGATGAGTGCGAGTTTTTACGCTTTCCAAAGCCATAACTCCGTTCAAACTCATCCAATCTGGAAAGCTAATACGTCATCATAAACTAGAAGATTTGCTCTATTCTAAAGGTTGTTAGAGCTGCTAAATACGTTCAGTATTAAAAAAATGGCCACGTTGAGGATTTCTGCCCGAGTACCGCCGAAAGGTACTTTTTTGCTGCATTGGCCCTATTTCAACGGCTATAGCTCCTTTCAGAGGCGATTACATACTAAAGTAGGGGCAGATTCGAAATGCTCCTGCTTCTCTCTTCCAAGAAGTGTAAAATAGTTTAGTGTATCTCAACTTTAAGGGTTACGTGCTTAAGAATTTGACGCTGAAGACTGTGTTTCTTTTTGAACGGTGTACTCCTCCCTGTAATTTCACACGGATCCTTTCAGAATCCTCTTAGTTTTTCCTGAATTGAGGTTCTTTCTTCAGAGAGCCGTAGTTGAAGTGCGCGCAACCAATTAAGCCCACTCTGGGATGCGCCATGTGCTTCACATCCCTTTAGATTCGAGGACTCACTTGAAAGATAAAATATCCTTGGAAAAAGTGCGAATTATTTCGAATTGTTTAACTTGTATGGTGACAAAACCAGGATCATCACCGTCAGAGGACAAGTAACTAAGAATTGCTAAGCGGACATCTCTGAATCACGAATGTGGGCAGAATGACATTGTTATTGGAAATCCTCTGGCCTGGCATCGACCCTTGATGTTTGTCCTCCGATGGTGATGATCCTACCGCGTCAATCTGGCCCGATCTCTTCCTCCCAGCGGGCCAATACGACCCCCCCCCCCTGTGACATGTCGAGGATTCCTCAACGCACGCTTGACCCTGCCTGCTACCCACCCTCCACCAAAATTTCTTAAAGGAGGAATTCACGATTAGAATGAAGGTCGAAGAAAGGGAAACTGACCTAGTTGAGGGACCCACGGACCTCCTGAGGGTGCGAACTGACGCGCAATTCGCATGGAAAAATTTGACCTCGGCGACCTATCATGCCTCAAAGCTGGCGGGTCCGGCGATCTCCGCCCACCGATCATCTGATCACTCGCCGTAGTTCAATACGTGGCGAGTGATTAGATAGCTGAGAGAGCGTAGTGTTGAAGAGGGCACAGCGATGAGAGTCGCATCAATGCTCAAATCAACGGGCAAGGAAGGGGTACCATTTCTCGGGTTCTGGGCCGTTTCTCATGGTTCTTCCTTCTTTCGTGTACCACTCACCATCCCTAGGTTAATTTGAAATGGGTTGCTTTTTCATCGTGAATTCGTCCTTTAAGTTTATTAGCGGTTTGCATCTATTCTTCCTCCTCTGCTCCCTGATGTTTGTCCTCCAACAGTGATGATCCTACTGCATCAATCTGGCCCCATCTCTTCCTCACACCGGGCCAATACGGCACCCCCCCCCCTAAGACGTGTCGAGGATTCCTTAACGCTCTGTAGAAGTGCGCGCACCCGCTTGACCGCTACGCGGACACTGGCTTCGTTCCACGAATGTGATTGGTATTGTTGTGTGTGTGTGTGTGTTGTGTGTGTGTGTGTGTGTGTGTGTGTGTGTGTGTGTGTGTTGTGTGTGTGTGTGTGTGTGTGTGTGTGTGTGTGGTGTGTGTGTGTGTGTGTGTGTGTGTGTGTGTGTGTGTGTGGTGTGTGTGTGTGTGTGTGTGTGTGTGTGTGTGTGTGTGTGTGTGTGTGTGTGTGTGTGTGTGTGTGTGTGTGTGTGTGTGTGTGTGTGTGTGTGTGTGTGTGTGTGTGTGTGTGTGTGTGTGTGTGTGTGTGTGTGTGTGTGTGGTGTGTGTGTGTGTGTGGTGTGTGTGTGTGTGTGTGTGTGTGTGTGTGTGTGTGTGTGTGTGTGTGTGTGTGGTGTGTGTGGTGTGTGTGTGTGTGTGTGTGTGTGTGTGTGTGTGTGGTGTGTGTGTGTGTGTGTGTGTGTGTGTGTGTGTGTGTGTGTGTGTGTGTGTGTGTGTGGTGTGTGTGTGTGTGTGTGTGTGTGTGTGTGTGTGTGTGTGTGTGTGTGTGTGTGTGTGTGTGTGTGTGTGTGTGTGTGTGTGTGTGTGTGTGTGTGTGTGTGTGTGTGTGTGTGTGTGTGTGTGTGTGTGTGTGTGTGTGTGTGTGTGTGTGTGTGTGTGTGTGTGTGTGTGTGTGTGTGTGTGTGTGTGTGTGTGTGTGTGTGTGTGTGTGTGTGTTGTGTGTGTGTGTGGTGTGTGTGTGTGTGTGTGTGTGTGTGGTGTGTGTGTGTGTGTGTGTGTGTGTGTGGTGTGTGTGTGTGTGGGTGTGTGTGTGTGTGTGTGTGTGTGTGTGTGTGTGTGTGTGTGTGTGTGTGTGTGTGTGTGTGTGTGTGTGTGTGTGGTGTGTGTGTGTGTGTGTGTGTGT